CAACGATCTTTGCATCTATCAAAGCTAAGGTGTTGACACCTGAACTCTCAATCGGTGCCAGTTTCTTGGCCGACATGACATGGAATGGGTATCCTCTTATTGCCACTTCCACTACCCCAGCTAGAAAACTGAAAGGACTTCTAGAGGCACTATCTTCATGCAGAGCCTCACACACGACACATACACCAGTGATAGAGTCAAACCCCGGCTTGCCTGTGAAAGGCACACACGTACGCCATTCAGCTTTCCTACAATGAGCATTTGAGTCTGCACAGGCAGCTGCCAAGAGAAGCAAAAACAGCATGGCTGCGTTTCTCTTTGCACCACCTCTAATATGCATTCTGTTCTTAAACCTTTCATTCAAAACAATATTTGCCACTTACCTAATGTCTGTAGCCTTGATACACAGATTTGTGAGCATAAAGGAAAACCCTGTCGGTCTGCGGAAGACTTCTTCCTTTTGGGGATAATTTTCGGCATCTAACCAGGTTTGCACCACTGCGGGCAGTGCAACCGCTATCTCTTACTATCTCTGTGGGTCTAAGACCTGATGAAGATACCCCCAGTGAAGCGTTCATTAGAATATTACAATGTTACTGAGATGAGCAAAGCTGCGAGTGGAATGGTTATAAATATGCAGTGGGTGGGTGCTGAATGGTCTGGTTTCTTCTTCCACCGCTCCTCTTCATTACAAGTGCCCTAATTGTTCATCCTGCATGGCACCCCCCTCAAGTTGGTACAAAGAATTCGTTTAAATGTCTTTGATTGATTGACAATTTAGGTGCAGTGGCCAGGAAGAGCCGCATACAGAATTTCAAATTGAGGTATGCTGTAGTATATATTGAATAATTCATCCTCCTCCTCACTTATACTAGGGATAGCCCGGTATAATGGTCTGGTAGCCTTGTGAAACAGATTACAATCTCAACAAACTGCATAAATGCAGGTTATCAAAAGAAGCCATCTCTATGTAGAGGATTAAAAAAAAGACACGTCCCGGGGACCCTGATCTATTTTTTCTTTTGAAACTGTTCACTATGTGTCGATATGTGGTATATATATATCCAGACACCTCAATACACATCTAACTACATTTTGTTTCAACCATGTACATAAAAGACGCATATTATATTCTATCTCAGGCTAAGAGCTAAGGCTATTCCAAAACCTCCATGGTTTGAGTATGTACGTAGCCCTTGGGTTATGTAGTAACTGACAGATTTGTTGTTCTGTAGCTAGTGATCTAACCAATGTGTATTACATGTACATTTCTCATATACATCCCGTGTATATGAGAAATGATGTAAACTTTCGTGACGACAGTCCTGTGCCGTTCTGTTTATAAATAGACAGCCGGGTTTCTACTGTGATGGTAAGATCGTCTTTATATAAAATGGGTAGCATGCAATATTTCGCGTGAGTGTAATTTATTTCCAGTTTTAATCTTTGCAATTTTCACACATTTCTGACATTTATGGTTAGCGCTATATAACATATCATAAAGGCGCACTCAGGTTGTGGTACCACGGTACCACTACTACCAGAATGTAAACAACATGGCTGACAGCTGTGTTTCTATCTTTTAAACACTCTCGTAAGGCGTCATATTTTGAAATTTCCACTTCCTGAATGACAGCCATTTACTGAAACCTGGTCATGAATTGACCAGAAAATGAACTTTTTACATTGACCTTAAATACGTAATGCAGCTTTGAATTTAAAGTTTTCTTCGGTCAATTCGGTCAAACTTCTTTTCATGACATGAAATTCGATTTTTGCTTTTACATCCAATTAGGTACGTGAACATTCCTCTGGTATGAAATAGTTATTTGCAATCAAGGGTGGTTGAATGTTAGTGCAATCATTTTTAGAGAAACGTTGTGTATATCCCAGTTTCGAAATGAAAAAGAATTTTCACGTCTTGATCACATTTCTTTTCCATTTTCAATAGCGCAGAGTAAGCTTGGAGCTGGATCTGCATTCTGCACAGCGTCCTCCTGCGGATCCGGTTGGAACTACGTGAGCGGGCCGACTGGTTTCTCATGCGTCCCTATTAACTGATACTCGTACATGTCCGGATCATGCCAATACCAGCATTGGTTTGCTCTTTACATAATGAGATTAACCTATATAAACTAACATCAGGAAATGTAAAACATCAGTCTTAAACAGTTGTGCGTAAACTTGGCTATAATCTAGACTGGTTTTAGCGAGTGAAATACATTTAAAACTTATATATATTATGAAGCCTGATGACTTATGTATGTAACAAGGCATTATATTAGACGTTTGTCAGATCCATTTACGTGGTTTTGAAGAAGATGATGGCAATGTTTTCAGCCTGTTGGCCTTGAATTATTACAATATGACATTGTTCCCCAAGTAGGATTTAAGAGGAAAGCCATGCATTTATCCTGTGGCATAGAGGACGGTAGTAATAGCGCTATTTGAACCTACGTTGATAATCTAGATATGAAATACGTTTAGTGTTGATCCCTGGAACTGCGTTTTGTTCGCTTTTGGAACATGTATTGACCAGTATTTTTTCAGTATGGAACAATAAGCCCAAAACACATGTATAGGCAATCCTGCATATATCAGCTGCATATCAGTTAAAGTTTAGTCTGCAAACACGCTGACCTTGACAGTAAATTCTAACTACAACCAGACTGAATTGAAACAATTGTAAAATGTGTATGTTCTAGGAATATTTGTAGTGTTCTCTACAAGCATGAATACTAGCACTAATTTTGTTTACAAATTTGCCCAATGCAATGCTGGAGGTCACTTCTAGGCGTTGAACTAATTTCGGGTTGCTCAAACAGCGTCTCTTCTCCCTAATCCAGAAATTATCAATATTCAAAACAAGCTCGACTCACTGAGGAATAAACTAAACAATAGGATTTGGGTCTTCTGTCTTACAGGTGGCAACTTAATGAACAGGTCTTGAAGACTGGTAAAATCAAACGTAACTCTGCCTCTGTGGATAGTCGGTGATACGTTGGACCTGTTTCTAACCCCAAACTCTTCCTGGTCTAAATTGTTCATTTGTCCTATTCAAGATGGAAATGCTTTTTCAAGCTACGTCAATATATACTTGAATGAACACAGTTGTCCTTGGGTAGTTCTGGTCTTGATCTGTTTACATCTATTGAGACTATTCCACAGTCTTTTTTCGTTTCACAATTTTACGACAATTCTTATTTCAGTGTCTCTTCTTCGGTGTTGACCTTTGTTGCACCTTCCTCTCATGCTAACTATGTTGTCCGAATTTACTCCATGGTCTAATTAATTTCGTTTTACTGTTCTAAGACAGCGAATCCTACTTTCGGTGGCTCACCTTTAGGGATGGCCTTCGTTGCACTGGCTTGTACGTTCCTCCCATGCCAACTTTGTACGCGCAGGTGGGTGATCCAAAGTGTGTCCTGTTGTTGGCTCGTCGGTCTCGGTGTGCAGAGTTAGTGTCGAGACGTCTGCTGTTCTGGCATCCTTGTGTAGTTGTCCAGGAAGGGTCGCCGTCGGGTCTCCCTGTACAGGACACGGTGCTGGTTCAGCATGCACCTCTGCACGCACTGTTACCCGGAACGGTCGCCCTGAAGCGGTCTCACGGCCACCGTGTCCTGGACGAGGAGGTTGTCCGGGGGTCATGTCTTCCTGGGTTGTCTGCGTTTGTGCCTGGTTGGATGGTACGCCTTCCGCCGTCGGCTGCGTGATCAGGCCCTCGGCAGAGGTTTGTGCTGGCGCCAATTCTGAGGCCGGTGCACCGTGCCCAAGACTGGTGATAGCGGCCATCTCCATATGCACGTCGTCCTGGCCGTGCCGCCTTGCCGGTACCACCGGTGGGTTGGTTTGCCATCCGCACAGCTCCCTACAGGCTCGACGGAACTCTGGCAGCCGGAAGCTGTAGATGAGGGGGTTGGCCACGGACGATAACGTCAGGTACAGGAGGATGGTCACGCGCTCAGCGATGATCAGGGCACGTTGTGACATCTGTTCCTCACTGACCAGAGCTAGTAGCATGGCTGCGTAGAAGCTGGTAGTGGTTATGGATGCAGTCAAAACGATAGCATGCGGCACCATCATTTTGAACGCCTTGGTCTGGAACATCCACAGGTCACGGTTCTCATCCCTCTCCTGCTGTCTCCTGGCTTCCTTGAAGACACGGCAGTAGATTATTGAGATCGAGAGAGCAACGAGTAGGAAGAAAAGTACGCTCACGCTCATGAAAATGGCTAAAGCACTGTTCGAGGGGCCCGTGACCATCTCACAACGCCAGCTGTATTTGGGCAGTCCGACAAAAGCCGCAAACGCTATTCCAAAGAAGAGGGAGAAGGCTCTGAACGCCAAGATGCCCAGGACCACACGTTTTGTGGTGACTTTGTCATGGTAGTGTAGAGGATCACACACAAAGTAGTACAGATCGACTGCCATCATCAGGTATGTACCGTACATGGACATCAAACATACGGGCCCTAACAGTCCCTCAGCCGCGCACCACACCTGTCCCCCGCGGGCATCTTGCCGGAAAAGTGCGTACACACGTACGGGAATCAGGCAGCCGGTGAAGATGATGTCGTCTGCCGCCAGGTTACACCGCAGATAGTGGCTGGGCTTTTGGAGATACTCTTTCTTCCAAACCAACAAGATGAGCAGCAGGCCGCATCCTACCGACAGCACCAGGCTGATGATGAGATATGCCGTCTGCAGATCACGAGATGTCGAACCGAGGGACAGAACATGGTTCATGCCACCTTCTACCGGTGAACCGTCCGTTTCTTCTTCCATATTGATAGCACGAAAAACAAAACACGACTAGTGTTCGCCTTTCTGATTATCTGAATAGAGAAACGAAGCAACACGGCACTCAATGCCAAAGCCAATTTATTCAGGCAATAGAACGTGGTATCTTAGCGAGAAAAATGCTGTAAGTTAACTAACCTTTGTATATGAAGCTCCCTCTAACGTAGAGGCTATTCAGTGGCTGATCTTTACATGAATGACGGAATAAACGAATGAATGAATAGAGCCTCATTAGCGGGACTTGCACCTTATGCACCTTTGCAGTCCGTATGTGCTTGTAACACACCGGTAAAATATTCAAAATATAAGGTAGAAAACAAATTGTGCTTGTCGTATGTTGCTACACAAACTCGTTTTATGGAAAAGAATTTCAATAAACGTGTCACAAATAGAAGTTAAGTGCACATTTGCATGAGTGTTACTCAAAACATAAATGTCCAAATCACATTCTTGTACATTTAGCACCCCTATTCTAAAACATAGATGCACCCCCATTGCTTTACAAAAATCATAACATCAATTCTGCAATACACTAGTACATAATACAAAGGACAGTAGAGTTCACATTTGTTTCTTGTGCCTTTTGATGGTAAACTTAGCCTTCCTCACTCGGCATGCGTAGTCCAGAGGTGAAGTGAATGTCACAGATCCCTTGTTTAATGATCTTGTCGAAAAAGCAAGGGGAATTTCCCTGCTACAAAGAAACTATAAATATTGTGCATATCGTCTGTCTTCTCTGTCATTACTCGAGGAAGAATAGTCCATCTGCTCATTGACTTCATGTTAACTTAGCTGGTTCGCATTTTTACTTTCCACTCTGAGGGTGCCCGCACCATTTATACAATACTTGTAAGCTGTACGTCATTTTATATCATTTAACAATTTGTCTTCTAGCTCACTGGCTGGTTTTCGAGTTTTATAAGGCCAGACTAATACATTTTCGGGCATTTCCACGTAAGCATTTAGTAAAGAGGACATCATGAATTGGTATGGCCTTGTGACATATTGTCTTTTTCGGCATCTATTGTATCCAGGACCGTGTTCTAAAACGTTCCACTCGCTGGCCCTTCCCTCAGAGCCCCTTCAGGACTGGCTCGGACGGGTCGAATGTTCTGTATCTCGCGGCAGGGCCGTCCGGTGGGATGTCCAGGCCGTCTTCCGGATGGATCTTGCCTTTGCCCTTCTTCCTCTTCAGGAGGAGATAGACGAGGGCGGCAAGAGCGGCTAGCGCGGCCAGGGCGGCCGGGACGGTGGAGCCCACGATGAGCCCGATGTTCGCCCCGGCTTCTGGCTGGCTAATGCTCGCTGTTGGTGTGACGGTGGCCGCAGTGGTGGTGTCTGGATCCGTCGCCAGATCTGTTATTTCTGTAAGGAGAGTTTGAAAAAATATAAATCTGTCAGTCATTATTGCTTTGGGATAGGTGTGGTTAGTAGGGGGTAGGTGTATCATGGAGCAATAGGTACGTGTGGCTAGTAGGGGATAGGTGGTTGATATGGCAATGGGTAGGTGTAGGATGTTAGTGGGCAATGGGTAGTGGAATGAGTACAATACAAATACTGATTTGGTTACCGGTAGCTGCGGATACAGTGGCTGAAGGGCGGTAAAGATCTCTGTTACAGCTCTAGTTGGGCGTACTGTACACTGTCACTTCGCCTAGTTTGCTCGTAATGTTTGGCAAGTTCTGGCATCGATCAAAAACGAAACACCAAAGCCAATCACGGTACCTGTCGAAAGTGCAGGTGGTGATTGCGTTTCTCCTGTTGACGAATCCGATTGTCCTGATCCCTCATTTTCGGGTGGAGTTTGAGTCGTCCTTACTGTCGTGCTACCTGAAACGTCTGAAGACTGGGTCGTTTTTTCTGTGGTGACGTCTGATCCTGTTGCAGGCTGGGTTGTTTCTTCTGAGAACCCTGACGCTCCTGTAGACTGGGTCGTTTTCTCTGTGAACCCTGACCCTTCTGAAGACTGGGTCGTTTCCTCTGTAGTGAACCGTGTGCCGAGTGTAGACTGGGTCGTTTCTGCTGTGGTGAATCCTGATACTTCTGTAGACTGGTTTGTTTCTGCTGTGGTGAACATTACGTCGGCTGTAGACTGGGTCGTTTCTGATGTGGTGAATCCTGATCCTTCCGTAGACTGGGTCGTTTCTTCTTCTGTGGTGAACCCTGTTCCTTGTGTAGTCGTCAGCTCTGTTGTTTCTGTATGGAGAAAAGTGGGAAAAGACATAGACCTTATCATTGCCAATGTCGAAAAAGGTGGATGTTGTGGTAGTCTGTGATAATCCGTGTAGACGATGTAATAGTGATTTATACCGGCCAGGACAAGTTGATGGTTGGGTGATCACAAAAGGTAGTTGGAGGCGGTATGGTTAGGTAACGTAATTTCTAAATGGTGTTTACCATAGACCTTGTTTACATGGTGCGGTGTTGTATTACGTCATAACGAACAGTGGTGCATGTGGGACCTATAGCGATTTGAGAAGTCTGGCCAAATTTGAGTTAAATTTGAGTCAAATTTACCGCACACTGCAACACTCCTACTCCCGAACACCAGCCAACCATGGTCGAACTTCCCGTCCGCACCTGAATGTTCTAAACATTTTGGGAACATTTGACTGGCACAGCCGAATAGTAGCGCGACCTGGTCGAACATGCACCAGCCGACCTTACTCCCGACCTACTCCTAATCATGGTTGTGGGGAGTTCGGCTGGTGTTCGGGAGACCATTTTCGGCTATGTGTGACAGGGAATACAATGCCAGCTGTGCCAGTGGTTCCTGTCGTAACGAGGAAGTCGTTCTCAGATCTGTCGACGAAAACTCTTCAATCTGTAGTTAGCCACGACGCTTCTGTGTGTGTTGGTTTCTGTTGCAGTGTGCGTCTTTAGGTTTTCGGGCGGGGTAGGTTGGGGTGGGATAGTTACCCGGGTTTAGTTCTGTGTTTTGTTCAGTGGCAGTGTCACATTGTGTCATGCTTAACAGAGACGTGTCGATGTCGGTAATACCTATTGCTGTTGGTCCCGATTCTTCCGTTGAGGGCGTGGTCTCTGCTGACGTGTACCTAGATGCTTCTGTGTAGAACGTGGTATTGGTCGGCTCCATGGTAGACTGTAGCTCAGTCATAACCAGAGTTTCTTGTGGGGTGGTTAAAGCGGTTTGTTGGTCTATTGTGGTGTCGTATTGTGTCGTGGTTAAGAGTGTAGTGCCGATGTCATCTGTACCTGTAGTTATGAAGTCTGTCCTTTCGGTAGCTTCCACTGTCGTTTGCCCTTCTGTGTAGAGCGATGTGTCGGTTGGTTCCATGGTAGACTGTAGCTCAGTCATAAGTGTTTCTTGTGCTGTGGTTAGGATGGTTTGTTGCTCTACAGTGGTGTCATATTGAGTCATACTTAAGAGGGTAGTGCCACTGTCATCTGTACCTGTAGTTATGGAGGCCGATAGCTCTGTCGTTTCGGTCGCTTCAACTGTCGTTGGCCCTTCTGTGTAGAACGATGTGCCTGTTGGTTCTATGGTAGATTGTAGCTCAGTCATCACTATTGTTTCTTGTGCAGTGGTTAGGATGGTTTGTTGCTCTACAGTGGTGTCATATTGAGTCATAGTTGAGACTGTAGTGCCAAAATCCGTAGTATCTTCTGTCGTTAGTCCTAATTCTTCCGTGACAAGCGTTGTTTCGGTCGCCTCCACTGTCGTTTGCCCTTCTGTGTAGAACGTGGTATCGGTGGATTCTGTGGTAGACAGAAGTTCAGTCATCACTAGTGTTTCTTGTGGGGCGGTTTCGGCAGCTTGTTGGTCTATTGTGGTGTCATATTGAGTCATGGTTAAGAGTGTGGTACCAAAATCTGTAGGACCTTCTGTCGTCAGTCCTAACTCTTCCGTGACAAGTGTCGTCTCGGTCGCTTCAACTGTAGTTTGCCCTGCTTCTTCTGTGTAGAGCGGGGTTTCAGTCATCACTACTGTTTCGAATGGGGTGTTTACGGAGGTTTGCTGGTCTATTGTGGTGTCATATTGTGTCATGGTTAAAAGTGTAGTGCCGATGTCATCTGTACCTGTGTTTACGTCCGATCCGTCTGTCGTTTCAACTGTGTATACCGTGGTGTCGGTAGTGTCTGTGGTGGGTACTGGCTCTGTCGTCAGGTCGGTAGTTTGGGGTTGAGTTGTTACTAGAGTGGTCTCCGTTGTTGTGGGCAGTGGTGTGGTAGTCGGAGGAACCGTGGTCGGTACGAAACTGGCATTGTTGCACAGGGTCTCGTTACAGCACTGCGACTGGACTGTAAAAAAAAGGAAACCTTTCAATTATCGTTCATCGTAAACAAAGGCAACCAGTTCTACCGCGTTCTGTCAGGGGGAGGAACTGCACGCGAAAATGTCGGACCCCCTATTCCAACCCCTGAGCAGTCAGGACTGGACCACTTATTCCACTAACCCTGAATTCCTACGATCTTACAATGAGCCCTCAACGATCAAACGGTTTCCATCCTGTACAATTTGGGCTTAACATAAGCACATGTCAAGATAAGCAAAGGATTGAAGGCTTCCAATGCAATTTCAGAGTGGCGAGACAAAAAAAAATATTCTGGATGAGGAAATCTGTCTGATATTGACATTTACTGCACTGCCATTCTTTGCTTGGCACATTTTTGTCATCATTTCATACTTCTGGGGTTAGTCCTAAGCAAGCTAAGCAACCGTTTTCTGTCAGTAACATCGCACTTTTGCCTCACAAAAATCTGTGTATGCTATGGGAGATGACCAGAATTGATTTAGATGACAAAATCGACTTTGAAAATCCGGTTTTACTGCCCTGAAATAGGTCTGGGTGCCTCTTTTTAACAGAGGTGTGTGCTCGTTTCTAACAGAAATGTGTGCTAGTTTCTTATGCACAGTGCAAGCATGCGCGATCGTTATTTGCAAGATTAAAGCTGCATCCATTTAAAGGGTAAATGCATGTAGCAACTTACCAGCAGTTGTTGCTTCGTTAGTGGCACATGTTTCCTCCGACACACATCCCCTCAAGACCAACAAGACGCCAACGTTTAACAGGTGAGCCTGAAAATGCAGAAAGGCCTTTGATTCTTTTATTTGTTATGGTGAGATTTACCAATTCCCAGAAGGATTGACATCGACAGGCGACTATCCCCTTTGGTTTTCAAAATGTCAACCCAGAGACCAGGCTGTAAGGTACTCTTTACTAGTCTTGGACTCTCGATGGCCGGGAAACACCTGTGGCCAATTATATGCCCCTTTAGGCCGATTTCTACGATTTATTCAGCCTGCAAAAGGAGTCTGGTGGAGACTAACTCTTTAAACAGGTGGCGTATTTTTTTTGGGGGGGGGGAGGGGCTATTGTAGCATCACAGATTAGTTTTTGAGCTTGTAACATAGTGTAGTGTTGACGTTTTTTTCTTCTTTTTTTTTTCTATCCTTTTGTACTTCTTTTATATTGCGTGGCTTTTATCCACTAGTCAACGGTGAAAAACGCGGTGCCTATAAATAAAACAGGTACAAAGCAGCGGACAATCGCATAGCTTATACAGTTCTCATATCTCAACAAACTCCATTATTAATCTCCAACCAGATCTTTAGGTGGTCGCAAAAGACAGTATCAAATTGGCCAGGCAGTAGCCATTAGCCAGACAGTATCCTTTGGTCACTCGGGGTGGCGAATGGACACGAATCGAGCAAATTGATACTGCTGCCTTGCCACCGTGTGATCTGCTTGGACGGGGCTATTTGATTTAGAAAAAATACTGGCCATAGAAACAGTGTCACACTTCGCCTCAACCCGCGCATGCGGACGCTTTACTTTTTAAAGGGATCATGACTTATGCTTCAAACTGCTGGTTATGTCGTCATGGATTTGGAACTTCCGCCTTATCCCGTGGGTGCGACTACAATAATACAAACAGGACATAATACTGACCCAAAAACGCTCAGTCACACAAAAAGCATAAGAATACTTTTTTTAGTTATCTTTTGTTTATAAACAATGATACACTGTCATTTGACGAAAATGTGTTACAGTTCCGTTTTGCTGACTTTATCAAGCAAGCATGTAGGAAGAGAATGGCGTGTTTTTGTAGTTTTGTCAGGTTGGCTGGTGCCGCACAGTGAGGTGTCAGCATTCCGTTCTGCCGTACGTTTCCCCTTTATGTAAGAACCATTCGTTATGACGTGTTGTGTCAGACTGCTATGGTGATTGCTGACAGAAATGTTATATAAATCTCCAAGCAGAGGTAGGGTGTGCGGAGTAGTTTCATTTTTCCTACGCCGTTTCGATTTTTGCGGCTGCCACTTCCAAGGTACTTCACTAGGTACCTTGGTGTAACAAAACCCTCGTATAGACCATCCACGTAAGGACAATTACTAGTAATACGAGCCGAAACCAAGTACACATATGCTAAAAGACCTTACCTCAATATACTCGCTACAAGTCTCTACATTGCCACAAAGTGTAAAACTAGGGATAACTAAACACCGAAACTTACACCCTTCTCTTTTCCATCTATCGCGACGGGACAAATCTTGATCACACGTACATGTACAACTGATTTAAGCGTTCGCATGATGATGGAATAGTGAAAACAGTGTGCAATTTTCCGTCTCCTTAGCTTTCTGCTTTGAATCAGGTAATATATGCACATAGGAGTATACTTACTTACCTTGTATATGCGCACAGGAGTATACTTACTAGTATCCTTGGGCCTACGTAGCTATCACAACTGTTAACGATTGTTAACGATTGTAAGGGTCTGGTCGTAGGATCGTTGTAAAATTGGAAACTGAGGGTTGTCTTTAGAATACCTGAGTAAGTTTAGTACTTGTAGACACTGGAAATAATTTCAGAGACACGGAAGACTGCAGAACGTAATAAGTTACTGACCTGACAGATCTCGCCCGCCTCACAAGTTTGGTTGGCGACTGAAGAGTCCGGGCTCGGCAGACAATCGTCGTACTCCGGCTGAGAGTACACGCCTGTACAGCTGTAGCAGGTCAGGGCGTGGATGTGCCCTGTGGGGAGATAAAAGAAGTACGGGTAAAATTGAGAACTTTTTTTTCGACATCCGTGCTTCAGAAGCACGGATGTCGAGTATCGTATCCAGAACCGTTCCAGTCTAGTTCTATGTCTGAAGTAGGCTGTGACAGGCAACAGACAATTGAGCTAAAGAGCCTTTTCCGTAAAGACAGCTAAAGTTTGTAGGACACTTGCTCAACTATCCCAGGCAGGCCCTCAGTTCAGTTACGATCATACGACGCAACGAGCGTTACCGGGCCGGGCCCGTCCCTAAACTTTAAAAAGGGATCGTAATGATTTTAAAGTACACTCCAGTTTGATCAGACATGACTTCCTTTTGCATTCGCATTCTGAACCGACGCTATAGTTTTAAACTGAAAGTTTTCCTTAGAGTCATAGACTTTTCGAAACTTTTTTCTGATCCTTTCCAAGAGCCATATATCTTTGAGTCTCTTTTTACGTCTTATCAAACGCACTTGTTTAATTCTCTTTCACGCGAAAACTTCATTTCAGGCGAAAAGTTTACATCTAAGTATTTTAAGTTTCTTAAGTTTTGCAAAATCAAGATTAATTATTATCGATGCCATACACATTCCACATTACACATACACTTCCAAATTCTAAATACTTTCATACATTGCCAAACAGAAGGAAAACTTACCGCTTAGTAGAGCTAGAACCAGGCAGCCGAGAACCGTGAGCGCCATATTTTATCTGAAGAGAACTGACGCAGTGCGTCCGTACCAACAAAACCAAACAAAAAACTGGTGTAATGTTAACAACTATGCTCTATCCAAAGAGATTCGTACCTGGCTCTTTTAGACGGCGTTTTACGGTTATTTGTAGCGCATAATAAAATGTGTTGTTTGCTTTTTGCGCGGGAAAACAGCTGATACAATGGGAGCAGAAAGCATGGAGGAGGTCAGAAAAATAATGGTTTCTTTTATTGTGGACCGTTTCCCCGACAACTTTCCTCAACATACAGATACATGATTTTACACAATAATTTATTTCACATTTTTTGGAGGTCAGAAAGTACGAGAGAGGTCAGAAAAATAGTCTCTTTTCATGTGAACGGTTCCCTGGACAACAAAATATAGATACACAATCATTTACTAGTACTTCACAAGTTCACTTTTTTTCCGGGAGGCAGACCTCTGAAATTTTACAATCGCACTCAATGTCACTGATTCTACTTTGAAACAGATCTAGGCTAACAGTCTATTTATTGTCTATTTGTGCTTCATTTTGTAGTAAATTTCTACAATTGAAAGCGTAACCTGGTCACCATTCTCTACAGCCCTCATCATTTAGTTGGGTGGGTGTAGTGTAATCCTTGTCATGATCGATAGGTGGCGTTGTGTACCGTCGCTTCGTAAAACAAAAGATTTCACTTAACTTTGTCTGATTGATTTTTAATATTTCCATAATAATATCTGATGAAATTTATTATCATCAGTGCAAATATGATCCCGATCGGCGCTCTGTAAAAAAATTAGCAACGTTTTAAAATAAGGATACAAAGGTTACAGTTCAAAGGTCTCCGTGCTGTGATTGGTCAGCTCCAAACGGCCGCCCTTTTACGAAGTTGTTTTGTGTGCAGTGACTCTCTGTCAGCCGTGTGTTTTTCGGTAGAATTTTAGTTTGCATCAAGTTTCTGTCACAAAGGGTAGCTGCAGCGCAGAACATACGAGCATGTCTTTCTCCAAAGCGAAGATCAAGCGGTATTATGACGACGCAGGTAAACAAAATCCTTTCAAAATTTTGTAAGGGCGTGACTCGCTAGGACTCCAGTGGGAGGGAAGCCGCGTTTTGCAACGATAAATAAAATTTAGGATATTTTCGAAAACAACTACTTAGATTTTAGCCAATATGGGGAGAACAGGCCAGGGCAGTTTGGCCACTGTCTAGTTCATTTGTCTTCTAACGTTACGGAAGAGGAAATGATCCACGGACCGAGTATCTCCTGGCAAAAAAAAAATCAATTTTTTTTTGTCGATCCGTACCCCGTAGGCAGGAAGCCCTGTATTGTTGAAATCTATCAAAAACTACACACCGCTAGTTCTAGGTTTATTCATACCGCCCATGTTTAAGTCCGGTTATGTGCATATTCAACAGGATTTCCAAATTATTTGCCTTACAATTTTGCAGGGTATTCCTGCATCCTGTCTGAGTGCAGGTGTCTTTGCTTTGTTTGTATGTTTTTCCTACATCAGTCTGAAAACCAACAAATTACTGTACTGCTAAAAATATTGTGCAGATGTAACATCAAAACCAGGTGCATGTCTGACAAAAAAGTGCCCCCCTCCCCAGGTTGCGCCCCTCCCCCAGGACACTATGAGGTGCAGGTTCCTGAGAACGGAGCACACGGCGCTGTCATCACCAAGTCTGAGCGCTTCAAAGTACCAAAAGGTATGCACCACCTTTTTGTCCTTACATAAGAAGGAGGTTCACACCTCTAGATCAACCAATATAAACGTAATATAATATGTATCCTCCATTCATCACATTTATACTAGTATAAATTAAAGCCATTAGCTAAAACTCTTGTTAAACCTAACTCTAAACGTCTAAAGTTTTAAATAGCCTCTACCAGGCTGAAAGAGTAGAATTTGGCCAAATTTGACTAATTTCTACTCTTTCCCGTTACCTCTCGAAGCCTGGTAGAGGCTAATATAAGTTTTAAACTCTTGTTTGTTGTTTGTCCTGACAGACCCCCCTCCCCCACCATCCTCTGCTAAGCTGGACCGGACCAAAAGCAGCTCCACCAGTAACCTGACTGCATCTGGGGACAGACTGGCCAAGAAACTCTTCCCTGGAGGAACACCTGGGGTAGGTTTAGAGATTAGGGCTTCAAATTGTTAAAGGCGTCCAATGTAATTTCAGGTCTGACCGTCAGCAACTGTTTTTTCAAAGTCAAATTTCCAGTCATTCTTTTAATGTACTGTAGTACTACATGTAGTAAGATAAATTAACCCTGTCCCATAGCAAAAATTACTGATACCCGTGTCTCTATTGATTCCTCCTTCCTGTAGACTTCTGCCAAAGGGAAGACACCTGACCAGCCCTCCTCAGAGCTGAAGAAAGAGAAGGATCGTCTGGAGAGGGAGGTAAGATGTTCTTATTGTGTCAAATGCAAGGCAAACACTTTACCCAGTTGGCCATTGCACCAGTTCTATTCAAAAGGGTAAAATTTGTCTGGTTCAGCTAGTGCTGTGTACTGGTTTGCTGGACCAGTTCCAGACTTGTAAAAAATGTTTAGGGTCAAGTCCAAAAAAACCTAAAGGGAAAGAACCAGTTCTGGACTAATAAGATATTCTAAAAAAATCCATGTCACATACCCCTTTTGGTTCTAAACCACAAATCACCTAAAACCTTACATAGATTGCAAAATCTGTACTGAAAAAGGAAGAAAACATTGCCATCGGGCATCGTCAAGTGTTGGCCTCCATGTTATGTGGTCACAGTTTTGCCCAAGCAACATTGCAACATGCAATTTATGCAATTTGAGTCCGGACTTGTAGAAATGAACCTAAACCTCTGGACTTGACTAGGTGCAGGTAATCTTCAATATTTGTAGCCTGTGCAGGTGTGCAGAAAACAAGTATTTGGTCTCAAAGCCCTGTGTACCCTGGAATCCAAACTCACTGTCCGGGCCGCAAAAGCCCTTCGCCCGCTGGTGTAAATTACCGCTACGGGGGAGTCTAGCTCGGGCTCAACTCCCCCGTAGCGGTAATTTAGGCAGGCGGGTGAAGGGCTCTCGGCTGCCGAAGGAAAACGGCTAACGGCCCGATACTAGTTTGGCATCCAGGGTAAGCCCTGTGCTGACATGGCAACGCTATTCCGTGTTTCCCCGCAGCTGCGTCGGTTGCTGCAGCAGCGTACGGAGCACGACGCCCAGCTGTCCGCAGCCAAGGAGGAGCTGCAGAGGACGGAGGGGAAGCTGAAGGCCGCGCTGGCCGAGAAGAACGCTCTCACAACGACTGTGGCCACGCTAGAGCGGCAGAGCAAGGAACTGAACAAGGCTAATGATGTACTGAAGACAAAGGTAGGAGGCTGACATGCAAATACACCCTTCGCCATGGTTGACCACTCCATAAGGCCTAGGAAAATTAATGTGCTTCCAGTTTTATTCCTGAATAAATTAGGGTCCTTAGGTAATTTCTTCCCTTTTTTTTATTCTTTTTTTTTTTACATGTTGGCATCAAGACCACTCCAACCATTTGTTTGTGGGGAAGGGACAAATATTTCTGAAAATAAATGAACTAATGATTCAGAGAGTTTGAAAATCAGATGTAAAATTGAAAAGTTTATGTACTTACCTGTGCAGGTATCAAGTATGGAGGGTTCCAGACAGAGACATGAGAGTGCTCATCAGGACCTGGCAGATACCAAAGCCAAGCTGCAGGCTAAACAACAGGTAGGTTCCAGGGTTTTCACCAGGAATTTCTCACAACCTAGGGTTCAGGTACAGAAGGACAACTCCACAGCAAAGTATTTAGTTTCAATGACATGACAACAATAGGGGGTCTGATATTCTTCCCAAAAAGTTCAAATTAAGTTGTTGTTTTCTTAATTAAGATTTATGAAGAGTCACAGAGTTCTCCCACCAAAAAATACATCCCTATGCTAGCATTGTGCCAGAGGTGTGACAGTCCTAGGGTATGCTCCCCTAGGAAAATTTTGAAATCTAGACCCTCTGAAATGCTGTTTCCTGCATTTTGAAGAACAAACGTTGCTAGTAGACTAAGCTTATTAGTTTAAATCTGTTAACTCTAGTTTAGATCAGTTCCATATCTTTATATACATGGTGATGTTTGCGTTTGTCCATCAATGATGACGGATTGGGCAAAATTTTGTCAATAAGGACAGACGCTAGCTAGAACACTAGTAACCCCTCCCCCCCACTTTGAAAACTTATCTATCTAACCTATCTGTTTCCCTAGGAGTTGTCCAGTCTGCAGACAGAGCGAGAGGCCCAGGTCAGGAGTCTCCAGGCCGATCTGGACGCTGCCAGGACAAACATCGCTGCCCTCAGGGAGAGGAACCAGGCACTGGGTCAGTACTGGACTGTGGAGGTCTCCTACACCATTGAAGTGTTTCTTTTTAGCATCCTGCACCAATCATAGCAATCCAGGCCATTTCTTTCAGTCCTGTAAAGGCATTCAATTCAAAAGAAAAAGTTTTAAGATATACAGAAAGCCTTGTCCTTATAGAAAAAGTTTTAAGATATACAGAAAGACTTGTCCTTATAAGTATATAAATAGAACAAGGCAGCATAGTGGCAACCATACATGTACATCTTGGAATAACATTTAGATTCAGCTGACGTAACTGTCTTGTTTTCTGTCTTCCAGCAAACCAACCAAGAGATCCAAGTTCTGAGCGAGCAGACAGAGAACGAAGTGTCACAGCTACAAAGTATGGAACTTTGGAACATACTCTTTTTGTTTGTCTTAGTGTTTGTCTAACAATGAAAAAGTTTTTTGGTGAGAGTTATCACTGGAAGAGTCCATTCTTGATTAGAAGAAACAATCTCTTTCAGTTGCAGTCTAAATTAGGAAGGTATATATATTTCAAATTGGGATTGTAGTTCAACTTTGGGCAGAAGTCATGTTGGAATGTTTTTTATGATGAAGTAGATGGAGTGAAATATGCTGTATTTGCTCTTGACCAAATTCTGGCCTTTCTAACCTGTAATTTCTGTCTTGCCAGTGTTGACAGACCAGCTGAGATCTGAGAACAGGTCACTAGAAGAGGCTGTGGAAGAGGGAAAAGAGAAAAATCAGGTTAGAGTTATCTTTTTTTTTTTACTTTACTTTTAGTACTGAACAGAAAGCTACTGGTTTTGGACAAAACAAAAGTAAGTTATTGTCTTAGTCTTTATTAAAGCTGCATTATGTGTAGTCTGTATAACGCAAACTCTGCCGTCCGCGGCTTTACTGGCCCCTCCCCACAGGTCGGCTGGATGTTGGGCGGCCGGCAAAAGCGATTTAATTAGGCTACATTATGTAGCATTAGGACAATAAAAGTCAATTTTCTGGTGTGTATTTCTTTACTAAGTTGCACAAGTTCTTTACAAAATTACAATCACAAAATTTTGGATCAAAAGTAAGTATATCAATTTTTGACACAAAGTGCACCTCTAACAGAAATCATTTTTTTCATGCCATCCAGGCTCTTCAGAAGAATCTACAAGAGGCCATAGAGGACTCAGAGAGAAGGATCCAGCAGATAGCAGACAGTCTGACAGAAAAATATCAGGTAAAACAACATGTACAGTTCAAAAGTCCCCCCTTGCAGCTTTCTTTTAAACTGCAGACTTGAGATATAGTTGGATATGTCCATATTTCCAACAACATCCAGGTTACTAATAATTCTTTCACATGTACGTCAGTGTAGGGTATTGTGCAACGAATAAGTTAATCTGTTTTAGCATATAGTAGCTTCAAACATGCTACATACGTTATTGTATAATTCAATGATGTAGAATTCAAACACATAACATATGTACCTTGTCTGTACAGAATGCAGTGGGCCGTCAGAGAAAACTGGAAACTGCACTGAAGACAGCCGAGAACAACCTTAAGGAGACCGCAGAGACTCTAAGAACACTGGAAGAAGAGAAGTGAGAGACATAGTATTACATGTTTACATCTTAGACATAATATCTATCCTTGCTAAGTATATTAAAGTTACGTATTATTGAGAATTCGACTGTTCTCCAACTCAAAGAACTCGGATGTTACCAACTCAGTTGAACTTTCATGCGAAAGTTACATTGTTGCAAACATGACTGTGTGTGTATTTTCCAGGCGAACTCTTGAGGACAAAGTGTCGTACATGGAAGCTTCAGCTCAGGTTGGAGGGGAGAAAGAACACAGTTACCAGAACCACATCAGGTACATGTATGACATTGTCTACTGCAATAATTTTCTTTAAGTCCCTTGAGTGGTCACGATATGGCCTAGGAAAAAGTTGTGTTTCCTGTTTCAGTCGAGAAAAAATTAGGGTCAATAGGTAGTGGTCCACACAAAAAAGACGTCAGTTTTTTTTTTAAATAGGGTCAGTCGGAAAACAGGAAACATAACATTTTTTCCCTAGGCCTAGACAGGTTTAACAATCTAAAAGTGAGTATAACTGGAAATTTCCTTTCAAAATCATGTACAATCATTTGTTTGTGCTGAAGTGAGCTGGAGGCTGCTGTTCAGCAGAAGACAGAGGCTGTGACAGCAGTGGAACAGCAGCTGTCTGAGGCACAGGGTAGCATCAAACAGCTACAGGAACAGCTCAGGGAGTAAGTACCATTTTAGTGTGTATCAACAGTAGAATGCTGATATTTTGGCCCCAACAGTTGAAGAAAGTCCTTGTCTTCCTAGTTGTGACAGTTTTTGCATCCAACAATGGACTGGTTAGATGAGAAGTTTGAAAACTCATCGCTTGAATTATAAATCAACCTGGTGTGCTGATTTCATGCCTCCAACCCTACATCACACCTTCATACTGTGCCTAACATTATAGTTTTTTTATTCATCTTTTGTCCAGGAATGAAGATTTGATGACTAACAACATCAGGAACGTCACAGAAAAGTACCAGACTCTGGAGACAGCTTTTGGTATGTTAAGATGGCTTTCAAGACATTTCTAGCTTCCTTGAGGTGCTGGTCATCACGTTCTAGGAGCCTGACCAGTGGAAGGCCTGATACATGTAGAAGCGTGATATAGTCAAGCTGGGGGCCTGAACAGTGGAAGGGCTGTTAGAAGAGTGATGTAGCCAGGCTAGGGGCCTGAACAGTGGAAGGGCTGCTAGAAGCATGTTGTAGCCAGGCTAGGGGCCTGAACAGTGGAAGGGCTGCTAGAAGCATGTTGTAGCCAGGCTAGGGGCCTGAACAGTGGAAGGGTTGCTAGTATCGTGATGTAGACAGGCTAAGGGCCTGACCTGTGGAAGAGCTGCTAGAAGTGTGATATAGTTAGGCTAGTATGGAGGATAGCTAGAAATTTGACTTACTTGACTTACTTGACTTAAGTCGGGTGCCAGTCCTCCTCTGCCACCCGAACCACCATGGCTGCCCAGTAGTCTCTGTCCTGCATCGCCTTCCCCATGTCTTCGGCCCGAAGGCCAACGTCCCTTCGCAGCACGTTGAAGTTTACAGGCAGATGAATATATCGTCTTCTGTAATTTTCTGTAGCGACTGCGAGTGATGAGCACGACAATCGAGAGCAGCAGCTTGAAATGGAAATCCAGACCACGAGAACTGCACTACGATCACGAGAGGAAGAGTGTCAGACACTACAGACCAACAACCTCAGCCTCATCCAGCAGGTCAACACACAGAAGGTACAATGACTTTGTGCTTTATTTATTCTTTGTTAAGAGTTAAAATCAGATAAAGGTTCTATTGAACACAGGGCTTTAAATACCACCTGCATATGCAGGTTATTGCATGGTGCACCCAAAAAAATTTTGTTAACCCAATTTCGAGCCCGGTTAAATATAAGAAGGGTGGGCAAATATCTGACCATGCTGTGTTCATTGCTGACCAGGAGAGGACAGACTCTGCCGTACGTGAACTGTCCAAGCTCAGGGAAGAATTCAAGAGAAAAGAAGGGGAGAAAGAGACCAAACTGGACGAGTTGACCACAGAAATGGACACCTTACTGACACAGGTACAAATGTATATCTACTGTCTTTCTTTTTGAGGAGAACCTTGTGACCCTTCATAAATCTTTATGAAATCAAAGTTTGACCTGAGAATAAAGCAAAGGCATAACCAAGTATTTTGTCCCTCAATAAGCAGGAAATAATGTCTAAGAAGGTTATGAGTTTTAGATTTTTGGGGAGTGTCACAGATCCCTACTGTAGTTATGTCTTTAGAACGCAGTACGCAGGTTGTCCGCAGAAAGTTGTATCTTGACCCCTACTCTGTGAAAGAATTCTGGTGTATTTTTGTCACAAGATGCACATACTTCTGCCACCAGGTTGAAGAACTGAGGGCAGAGGTGGAACAGTTGGAACATACCATTCAGGAGCAGGGGGAGGAAAAGACTTCTCTTCAAGAGCAGCTGGATAAGTGAGTTGGACTGACAAAGTTTTAAAATTAAATATCTCTATACTGTATACACAAAATATATAATGAATATACATGATTTGGATAAAGATAGTGATGCACTTTATATATAGTCTGTATCTCATTCTGCACACCTTAGTATTCTAGCCAGCATCCATCTTTCTGCTGTGATTTCAAGGAATTTTGCCCCTTCCGACAAAAAAAATTGCCTAATCTGTCCTCTTTGACGATCAAAAATCGATGAGATGTCCTTAAACTAAATGTAGTCTAACAGCAAAATTTGCCCCTCAAAATGTAGGAAATAGCATTTCAAGGGGTCAAGATTTTAAAATTCTTACCCACACAGGAAGAAGCAGAAGTTGGAGAACCTTCTTCACCTGAACCAGGAGATGTCTGAGAAGATGAGGGAACAGAACAAGACCACCCTGGAGAAACTCTGCAGCATGTCTCAGGAGTTCGACAAGTATGTCTGAGTCTTAAGTCCATATGCAACAAGAAATGAAAGATTTCACACCTGTTCAAAGTATTTTGAGTTGTCGCGATTTTAAGTGAGTGAGTGAGTAAGTGAGTGTGTGTAACTAAGTATTAAAAAATGGTGCACACTAGGGTATAATTTCGTTCAGGTAAAGTCAGATACACCAGATGTCATATCCAAACCTGTACATGTAGATCCACAGCTCTACATCTGACATTGACGATCCAGCATCAATGGACTGATGATGTTCTGCAATACCATTAGAAGTTGACAGGGGGTGCTGTTTCCCCAGGTACAAGGAGTCCTCCCTGAAGGAGCAGGAACAGACCATGGAACAGCTCAAGACCATCACTCAGGAGAAGACTGTTGCTAGGCAACAAGTCAAGGAGCTGGAGAAGGTTCTGAAGGAGAGGGAGGCGGAGTTTGCCAGGGCTCGGGAGGAGTTCAGCAAGTTAGTGATCTGTGTTTTCTTTTGTCTTCTCATGTCTTCCCTCTATCATTTTGCTTCCCTCATCAAAGGACAAACAAGAGTTTCCTCATCAGATGCTAGCTTCCATTGTTTCCCCACTGGTTCATTCTTACTTTCTGTCTTTGTTTTGTTGAGCTTTCATGCTTTTGTTGTTGCAGGCGTCTGATTGATGCTCACACAAGAACTGCGAATGTTGAGACAGACTTACAAAGGTGAGAAATCATATTTCGGGAATACTTACATGTACATTTAGTAGTCGATGTAATTGATATGTTAAAAGCAATCAGTATACCCCGATTTTCTGTTTGTTTCCCTTGTTGACCTTTAGAAGAATGGCTAAGGAACAGCATTTTGATAACCAAGTAAGTTTAGAATTCGTATAAGTTTTGCACATGAATGGATTCAGAAACAGAAAATGCAAATTATAGTCATTGGTAAGAAAAAAATCCTAATATTCTTTTCTCTCCCTTTGATATCATTGTAGACATAAGGAGGAGACCAGAACTAAGGTGTCCAGTTTGCAAGAAGAACTGCAGAGGTAAGTATGCCAAAGATAGCTTTGTCTTCTAGTTTTTTATTATTCATTACAGAAATTATAGAATTGAAACAGTACTATGACTTACTTTTTTCTATTAACCAAAAATTATGTTACATTTTACATCACTCTATGCATTACATGTGAAAGTGAATTGGAGACTACATGTGATACTATGGATTTCTCTTACAGAAAGGAACAAGAACATCAGCAGGAACTGAGAGCTGTACAAGATGAGCAGAGGTACTTTGTTAGACGTCAATGAAAACTTATGAGTTATAAGTCCTAGGAATTTAAAGTCGTCCTTCAATACTTCATTTCTACTAGGATATAGGGATTTTCTTAGGCACTATAGGAGTTGGATAGGTATTAGATAAAAGGAATGAAGAAGATAAAAATGTACACGTCGTCATCTATGTTTTTGTTTTTTTCAGAGCTGAGGCTGATCCTGAAGAACTTAGTAGACTCCAGGCAGAAGCAAACAGGTACAAGGTTTTCAAGTGATCTGTTATTTTCGTATGGTACAACAGTGTTCTAGTTATCACACGGGCCAGAATACCCGTATCGAATGCTATACTGGCCCAGGTATGACATTAAAAAAACTGATACCATACGACTTAATCCCCAGATGGCAGACCCTCTTTGAAGAGCTGCAAGCCAAAGTGGAGCCATTCCAGGACCAGCTGGATGCCTTTGAGGCGGAGAAGAACGCCCTCTTGAGACAGACTACGGTAGCGCAGGGGGAGATGAAGCGACTGGCGGACCAGTACACCAACCTGCTGGGGCATCAGAACCAAAAGCAGAAAATCCGCCACGTTCAGAAACTACAGCAGGAGAACGTCAAACTGAAGCAGGTGGGAAGCAGATTAGCCAGTGTTACACAACTTGTTTGGTGTATAGACATCATCAGAACGTACAGGGCCCAATTTTGACAGTTTTCTTTGGATGTTTGATCAACGTTGGCTCAGAATTTTGTCTCTGTCTCTTCATCAACCTGGTAAGATCTTGTCTTGTCACGTGATTTGATGTTGAATATCACATGACAATTTTTTTTGTTATGTCTGTCCCAGGAAGTGACCAAACTGCGTGAGGAAACCTCCAAACACAAGCGCCAGATACAGAAACTGCAGGACAAGCTGAACAAGGCCCAGGGTGTGCGCAGGTTCGACCCTTCCAAGGCTTTCCAACATAAGGAGAACGAAGACCCTTCAGCAGGTACTAGTAAGGATTTTGGAATTTGTGGTAAAATTTGTAGTTCAATGTTGAAGTCCTTGTAACATACATGTATAGCCAAATACTAGTATGGCCTCCCGACACACTAGCCAATCTCCTCCCAACCATAGTCAGGAGTACGTCAGGAGCAAGGTTGGCTGGTGTTTGACCAGCAGGTCAGCTACTGTTCCGCTGCGCCAGCCAAATGGTTCAAACATTCTGGTGTGGCCAGGGGTTTGGCCATAGTTGGCTGGTGTTTGGGAGTAGGTCAGTGTGTGGTTGGCAGTCAAATTTGACTTAAGTTTACCTCAAATTTGTTTCAATTCTGGTCAGATTTCTCCCGAACTTCAGCCAACCTTGGTTTGCTGTGGTGTCGGGGTGAAGGTTCTGAATGTGTGACACTGGCTTGAAGCAAATGTTCCTTTTACATTTGCAGATTTTGATGATTTATTTTCTGTGATTGTCCCTCACAGCTCCCCTTCGTGCTATCACTGGCCAAATACCTGATTAATGTGCAGTTTTCCTTAATTTGCATATACTACGCCAAGAGTCAAAGTTCAAAGGTTACCCCTATCCCATAATGCCCTAGTCCTCATTCTTTTCCTTGGCGCGCCATATTGGAAATACGTCGAGAGTTGTACTCAGCTTTTCATCAAGCTTGATTCCGTTTTTTCGCGTCGTTGTCAACCCTTATACAACCGGGATGTCTTCCAAGAAAGTCAAGACACCGTCGCAGGATGTGAGGGAGGTTCGGACCTCCCAAAAGCCCGCTAAAACCGCGAAAGAGAGTCACGCGGAGGAGAGAAAGTCAGCGGACCCCGCGCTTTCTCCCTCCCATGGGGACGCTGGTATGCCGACGGACACCTCGCTAAACCAGGTCCCTCCCGGCCAAAATCGCGTACAAAATGCCGATTTTGCCGGGCAAGCGGGCGGCTCCGGCTCGTGCTCGGCTCCGGTCGATACGAGTCGTGGGGACGGGTCGGCTGCCCGCCGGGCAGGCGACTCCAGCGTGACGCACATGGAAAGGGAGCCCGCCCAAGGCGGCTTCCCGCGCGGCGGACCACATGTGGCAGCCGCAGCGGCTTACGGACCCAACCCGTGGTTCAACTTCATGCCGCCTCCACCTTCCCCGCTTGGATATGGCTTCCCAGCGCCACCGACTAGCGCCTTTGAGAGCAGAATGTCGGCGATGGAGAGAACCCTCCAGGACGTCACGACAGCTCTCCAAGCCATACAATCCTACCGAACGGGCGGTCCCGGACCCTCTTGCTCCGCGGACTCACAGTCCTACGCCTCGGGAAGCGACTCAGAGGACGGGGAAGAGAACCAATCGGCCTCCGAGGAGGCCGAGGAGGAAGGTATGTCATTTGACAATCCTTACAATGAGAGTAATTCAGGTCTTTCCCCTGCTTCGGAGGATCTAAAAAAGTACCTAAATGATCTTTTCACTAGACGCCTCCCTAAGGAGGAATACGAGAAACGGTGTGGGCAATATTCGGTTCCCTCTAACTTGATTGACATCGTGAGTGCCCCAACCCTTCCCCCAGATCAATCGGCGTTGTTGGAATCCAAAACAGCCGAGGGAGAACGGAAATTATTGGGCCTACATAGCCGTTTTATGCAAGTCGCTAAGCCACTGACGCACTGTTTGTATGAACTGAAATATGATCGCCGTCCATGTGACAAGGATTTTGTGGTGGAGACCTTAGAATCGGCTCTAGTGCTGCTGGGTAGTGCCTCCTTCAACTTTTCCCTACATAGAAGAGACCAGTGTGCCAATTTGGTCGGGAAAAAGGAGCTAAAACATCTCCTATCTGAGGATAACCCCACATCAAAACATCTGTTTGGGGATGATTTTGTTAACCAAGTGAAGAATGCCTCCACGTCTAAGAAAGCTCTGGGAGGCGTCTTCTCGTCGGGAGGGCACTACAACCAGAAGTACAACCCAAAGAAAGACTTTCGGAACAAATACCAAGGGTAGATTTCGTTCAGACCACAAGAAGGCTCCCTACCACAAAAAGAAAGCTAACACTCAGTCGTCGGGGGGTTTCGTTCCCCTCCAAAAAACTAGGACTAGTCACTCCAAGATCTCCACCTCCTGGGCCACCCTCTCTCCAGTACCACAACTTTCATCTTCCAACTTGTCACCTCCCTTCCGTGGGGCGAACTGCCCATTTCGTCCACAACTGGCGTATGATTACACAGGACAATTGGGTATTGGACACCATCCAGGGTTACCGTCTAGAACTCTCCTCCCAACCATCACAAATCCACATACCGGTCACCAAAGTTCGCCCCGGCTCAGACACAATTCTAATCGACCAGGAGGTGGAAAAACTCCTCTCAAAAGGAGCTATCCAGAGAGCCTTACCCACAACAGGTCAGTTCATCTCTTCAATTTTTCTTGTCCCCAAAAAATGCGGAGAACTTCGCCCAGTTATCAACCTCAAGTACTTGAACAATTTCATTGTCAAGAAACATTGCAAATTGGAAACATTCCAAAAGGTCTTGGATCTCCTCCAACCGGGGGATTATATGACAAATCTAGATTTGAAGGATGCCTACTTCACCGTACCCATATTCCACAATCACAGGAAATACCTACGGTTCATATGGAAAGACAGTCTTTACGAGTTTGCAGTCCTTCCCTTCGGTTTGTCCTCGGCCCCCAGGGTCTTTACCAAGATTCTCAAGCCAATTGCGGCTCAGCTACGAGCCCTCGGAGTCCGGCTAGTAATATATTTGGACGATATATTGATAATGGCACAAAGTGCAGATCTATGCAGAGAGCACACGGCTCTGACCCGGTCCTTCTTAGAGAACCTGGGGTTTGTAGTCAACTTGGAGAAGTCGCAGTTAACACCATCCCAAACAAGGGAGTTCCTAGGGTTCACTATTTGCTCTGTGAAGATGGAAGTCCTCCTGCCGGACCAGAAAGTACTGAAGATAGTGGATCGATGTCAAAACCTACTATCGAAGGGAAAAGCCTCCCTTCAAGAACTAGCGAGCCTAGTAGGGTTGTTGTCTTCAACCAGCCAAGCGGTGCCACTGGCACCCCTACACTACCGTTACCTACAGAAAGATCTACGTCTCGGTCTCAAGAAGTCGGGACACTACAGCAGTGTGATTCGTCTTTCTCCGATGGCACGACAGGATCTGTGTTGGTGGCCGAAATCGCTAACAAGCTCGAACGGGGCTCAACTGAGACCACAAACAGTCCTGGAAGTACAAAGCGATGCCTCCCTCCAGGGATGGGGAGGATTCTCCCAAGAAAAAAAGGCGGGGGGGCGATGGTCAAGCCTGGAGAAGGCCGACCACATCAATGTCCTAGAACTGAAAGCAGCCTTCCTTTCCCTTCAGTCCTTTGCCCAAAATGTTCCAAGAGGACTGGTAAAAATGAAGCTGGACAACACCACAGCTGTGGCGTATATCAATCGGAAAGGAGGCACCAAATCAGTTCAGTTGATGAAGCTCAGTCTAGAAATGTGGAACTGGGCTCTACAAAGGGGACTAATGCTGACAGCATCCCACGTGGAAGGGGCAAAAAATCAAATAGCAGACACGTTGTCACGGGTCTTCAACGACAGGACAGAATGGCAACTGAATCCAGAAGTTTTCAGAAATCTGTCAGAGTTCATGCCTGGAGTGACGATAGACCTGTTCGCCTCCAGACTAAACGCTCAACTTCCACGTTATGTAGCGTGGATGTCGGATCCAGCAGCAGTAGCAGTGGATGCCTTCACCATAGACTGGGGACAGGAAATAGCTTACGCTTATCCCCCCACAGTACTGATCCCACGAATCCTGAACAAGGTGGTACAGGATCAGGCCACAATGTTCCTCCTAGCCCCAGTGTGGCAGACTCAAGTGTGGTACCCGCTAATGCTGGAACTATTGTTTGCACCACCAGTGCTACTTCCCAGATCAGAGGATCTGATCAAGTTACCACACAACGGACAAACACATCCGTTGCTGCCAGAAATGAGACTGGCTTTGTGGCCTCTGTGCGGCACAACCTCCAAGGTGCAGGCATTTCGCCTGGGCCTGCAGACCTCATGTTGTCCTCATGGAGGAAAGGTACTAAGAAACAGTACAAGGGTGCCTGGCATCGGTGGGTTCTGTGGTGCAATTCACGGAACAAGAATCCCTTTTCTTCATCTATCAATGATGTTTTAGACTATTTACACAGCCTGTACGCTCGGGGACTGGAGTACAGATCAATTGGTGTAGCCCGTTCAGCTATATCAGCTGTACATGCACCAATAGACGGCGTCAACGTCGGTGCTCACCCCTACGTCGTGAAGCTAATGAAGGGAGTGTTTCAATCCAGACCTCCACGTCCAAGATACGTGGTAACATGGGATGTCTCCAAGGTTACGTCGTACCTCAGAACCTTATCTCCAGCAAAAATGTTGTCCCTGAAACAACTAAGCTTCAAGACAGCCATCGTTGTGTGCCTTAACGTCTGCTGATCGCGGCTCTACTCTGGCTGTCCTGGATACGAGACAGATGTCGATAAAACACAATGGAGTATTGTTCGTACTGTCAGAACTGACAAAGACTTCAAGGCCAAACAAACCTTACAAGAAGGTTTTTTCTGCCTTCCTTCCCTCAGGACAAAAAACTGTGTCCTAAGACTTATGTCGAAAAGTACTTGGCCAGGACCAAGCCTCTAAGGAGGGATGAAAAATACTTATTTGTGTCTTTCAAAAAGCCACATAAAGCAGTGGGAACAAGTTCCATCGCACGCTGGATCAAAAGCGTGATGAGCCTAGCAGGCATCGATACTGCCCAGTACAGTGCCCACTCAACCAGAGGTGCGGCATCTTCAGCAGCAGAGAGAAGTGGCCTCTCTACTACAGAAATTCTACGGGCAGCGGACTGGTCCAGCGAGTCCACCTTTGCAACCTTCTACAAGAGGGACCTCGAAGAGAGTGACTTCGGGAGAGCGGTGCTGGACGTGGCTTCAAAATCTGCACATTAATCAGGTATTTGGCCAGTGATAGCACGAAGGGGAGCTGTGAGGGACAATTAATAATTGCCCAAAGGTACACTTACCTGCCGGGTAATTGTGGTTGTCCCTTACAGGTCCACGAGTGCTATCACTGGCCTTCCCTTCCCTTAGTAGTATTACACTACTTCCCTACCCTATTGGCGTCCAGCACCTCCTGCTGCGCCAAAGAAAAAGAATGAGGACTAGGGCATTATGGGATAGGGGTAACCTTTGAACTTTGACTCTTGGCGTAGTATATGCAAATTAAGGAAAACTGCACATTAATCAGGTATTTGGCCAGTGATAGCACTCGTGGACCTGTAAGGGACAACCACAATTACCCGGCAGGTAAGTGTACCTTTGGGCAATTATTAATTTTTTCCCCTTTCTGCAGATAACTCAATGATGTCTACCATGTGATCACTCGTACCAGGAAGCCAAGAGAGAAGGAGAGAAACATGACGAGTTAAGTCTTTAGTAGCTACTTGGTCACTAGTAATTTAATGTATTACCGCACCAACCAGTATGTATACATGATCTCAATATGAAAACATTGTTTTGTGTGTATGTCTGCATGACAAAGAGCAATAAATTCAAGTAGTGTGTATTTTCCAGACTATGGTGTAGGATCCATTGATGTTTTCAAAAGACAAAAACTTGTTCACCGCAATTTTGCATGCTGATGCTTGAAAGTGAGATTGTGTCTTGCAGTAGTTGACAGTAATGTTCAGTGGACTGTCATGAAATGAACTTTGCTTTTAAGATTACGTGATTCTATTTTGATAGTAGAGATGTACAGTTCGTAGTCTTGGACCACATAAACAAATATATACCTGCTTTTTTATTTGTGAAGACTTAGAAATTCCAGAACCAGCCAACCAATATTACTGACCAACTGGTGAGGGGTTTTGATGTTTAGTACATGTACAATGTACTTTACATTATGTTGTACATGTTATAATGTTTGCCCTGTGATTTTGTATTATTCATGTTTATTTCATTGACTTTGTACATCAAAACTGTCTGTAGATTGTACTGTTTTTAACTCTTTCACTCTGTCCCAAGTCTTGTATTCTTTGAAAAGTGATCTCCAGTAAAGATGTGTTTTTTTACCCCAATGTGTGTTGTCATTATATCTGGGAAAGGTTACAGGATAGTGGACACAAGTTTTACATGTGCATTGTACTTTGGCCAGGCACTGTATAGATATAGGTGCAATCATGAAAAGTTACTTCCAGAATCATGGCTGCTTCAGGTAATGGGTGCTTTTCAATAGCCTCCTTTGCAGACATTCCCGGAGCACTTATTTGCAACTTGCACAATTTTCTGATCAAACGTGGATGGCATGCAAAATCAATTTTCTGGTCACTTTTAATGTACAGTAAGTTGAATCAACCCTTTCCCACAGCATACTGATATCTGTGAGGCAAAAATGCAATGCCTGTTAATGGAAGACAATTACTAAGTCTTGTTTCGTATTGTAGCAGGTTCTAATTATTATTTATGGGTGGTACCCAATAAATACATGGCCGTGATACAATTTCTATGGACATGCATTAGTAAAGAACAACAGTATAATGATATGCAATCATGTAATATGATGTTCAAAAATGTATTATTCTACACACCTTAAACCTTCTACATAGTTGAAATTAAAGCTAGGTGTTGCACCTTCAAATCCCTTACAATTACACACAAGCAAACCCTGATATACACCAAATACATGTAGTCAAAACTGTTGCCTCAGTGATCTATTACTGAAGGGTCTGCATGAGGGGATCCTGGCAACAAATTTGCTGTAAATTTGGGAGCATCTGCAATATCCTTGATGGGGAAAAAATCATTGGATTGTTCTTTGAAATACATGTATATATTATATTTGCTTATTTCCATTGTCCTGTGGTCTTCTTTGTCTAAACACTGTCACCATTATGCATTGTCTGCATTCTGAAGGCCTTTTTGGTTGTATTTTGCACATTCAAATGTCAATGAAGGCCTTTCTGGTTGTATTTTGTGGCTGTTTATTGTTATTGAGGCATTTTTGGAGGTATTCTGCTTCCCACATTGCGCAGTCACCATTACTCTGTTGTAATGTGCTCGGTGAACCACTTGTAAATGTTGACGAAGGCATCTGCTTCTGCGTCCACCTTGGAGATGGGGTGACTGTTGTCCGGGTACACCAGCAGCCTGGCTGGGACACCCCGGGTGTTCAGTAGTCGGTACAGCTCCTTCCCCTGCGAGGGCGGGCATCTCTTGTCCACCTCTCCCAGCATGATCATCGTCGGGG